GTATTGGACTTTTTAATGTCAGACAACTGTCTTCCAATATCCACTTCAATATCCATAACTTCTTCATCTTGATTCCTTTCTTTCGAAGTCATCTCCTCTCCAACACAGCATTCAGCCATCTGTCTCACTACGCTAGATTCTCTCTCCTCTCTTTTTTCCCCTTTGTTAACGGGAATTCCTTCTTCTATAATTTCCATTTCCATTCCCACACCAGTTGTATTATCTCCTTTCTCTAATCGCAACTGAGACTGCGAGTTTTCTTTATTAATTACGACTCTGTTTTCTTTCTTCCTTAAAGGAGGAGGCTTACAAGCCGGACCCCCCAGTCTGTGGTCCGCTCTGAGATTTCTCTCTGAGCAAATCACGCAGTGAACTTGTTCCAGGCAATACTTTGCAATGTGTCCTCCCTGGCCGCATCTATAGCAAGTAGCTCCCCTATCATGTTCGTTATGACACTGACTCCTAACATGGCCCTTTTCTAGGCATCGAAAGCATTGAGTGGGTCTGGTTGGCAGTAAATCCACCCGGGCCATTGTCCACCCTATCCTGATTCTTCTGTTTTTTGTGACCATTTTCGCCGCGACAAGAGGACATCGTAGCCATAATGCTCCCAATCCATTGATAGCCTTGACAATATCGCCCATTTTTATCATGTCTATCGGACATTTGCCTATGTTAGAAATGACTTGAGACACATCTTCTTTTGTTACAGATTCTTCCAGATCCCTGATTCTTATCTCTGCCATTATCTCAGGTCTAGAAATCAGAACATTCTCCTTTTCCTTGAGAACCTCCTTCAGACGATCTGCCAACATATTTGCCTTTTTAACTGCGTCCACTCCTGGTATTTCCAGGAGTAAAGCCCCTGTTCTGGTTCTTCTAGGTCTAATTTCCTGAATACCTAATATATCTATGTCCACGTTGGATTTGGCAGTACGCATTGTATCTGCATAGCTTTCCTCTCCTCTACAGTTTATCTGCACCGCCGCAGTTTTAGGAATCCTCCTGTTATCTCCTATTTTCTTCGGTGTATTACTAGTGCTGACCAACGTAATTTTCTTCCTACTGTTACTTCCGCTAGCTAGACCTGGTTCTCTTTTGGCTTTCCTCCCTACAACTTTACTCCAGGGCAACTCCATAAGGTCACTGCTGCCTGGTTCCTGAGATCTTGGTGTTTCCCTAGTCCAAGGATATTTCTCCGACTTAGGTGTTGTCTCTCCTCTTGATTGTTTATTTTGGCTTCCTTTATCCCCTCCTAATTTATTTCTATTTTTATCAGCAGAGTCCAAAATTACTTTATGACCCTTATGTACCTGCATCTCTCTAATAATAGGTTTTCCAAGATGCCTTGCTAATTCCTCCGATACTATATCTCGGATTAGATCTGCCAGGGCCTTGGGTGAAGTTTCCTCTATACTTCCAATATTAACTTTCTGTTTTATCTTTCCAGAGTCTTCTGAAACCTTTTTAGAGCTTGATTCTCCTGTGTATTCCGACATATATTTTTTATGTGCTACATAAATATCCTTCTGAATATTTGGATCATCTCTAATCAGTTTCCTTTTCCCTTGTAAAAGTGGTCGCCTTACCTCAGGCCATTTATCTGGGCTATCTAGAATAATCTTCTTACCCTTGTCCTCCTCAATATCCATATTTTCCGAGTCCGAAGACATTGCCTTATCTCTGACTCGAAATTTAGTCGAGGGAATTCGCCTCGGGCTTTTCTTCAGAGAAGCATCCTTCCCCGTATCTCCCTTTGGACTAGGAGTCTTTTCTTTTCTAGTTGCAATCTCTTTCCTTAGAGATTGCATTTCCCTCCTGTACGCTTCCGCCTCGCCAGCTGCTTGGAGTGCTTTTCTTCTTTCTCTCTCAACTTCCTCTTCGAGTCTGTTTTTGAGATTTGCGACTTCCCTTTTTAACGTTCTTACTTCTTCCAGTTGAGCCTCTTCTTTCGTAAATGTTGCTCTCTCTTTGAATATGTCTAAAATCCCTACGGAAGACGCTGCTGCCAACCTAAGGCTCTTTTGGAAAGTGCCCTTAAGGTTACTGGAAACCCTAGCTATTCTCAATACCTCTAATAAACTTGTGTGTACCCTTTTCCGAAAGCTCTTCATTCGTCAGATCCGACATTCGAGCTTTAATACTTTCCACATCTATTTTTGCTTTCTTAAATAATTTCTCCTCAGGGTACTCTCGTATCAACTTTTCTCTATCTAGTTGTAACGCCTTTTCTTTTGCTTCGTTATATTTTAAAATAGCCTCTCGTCGTCCTATATATTCGCCCGTAGTGCGACTTTTACTGCTATCTGAGATAGAGTCAGATCTATCTCTTTTCCTAATTCCTATGGATCTTTGTGAACTAGTTCCCAAGACATTAATCTTCTCAGGAGGAGAAGCATCAGAAACCTCCTCAATGACCATTTTCCTGTTCCTGTTCCTACCCTGATCTATACCGACATCGCTATCTGAAGAGGATATCTCGACCGCTTCCGTCTCCATCGCTGAAGATGACTCCACACCAATACTATCCCTCATTGAATTCCGTGTAGACCTTTGTCCTGGTTTCCTAAAGAACGACGACAATGATGACTGTCCTTCCTGGCCCACTCTCCTCTGTGAGGGACCTGCTCTTATCTCTTCCGCTTTCTTAATGTCTCTAACCTTAACATTCCCTTTCTTTTTCTTATCACTCTCCACCTCGCTACTACCTAAGTTCTTGTTTGAATCCATTTTCTATTTGATTCCCACTACCATCGGCTACGCGGTTCAGGGTATACCCTATCTATCTAAAAGAGTGATCCCCAAGTTCCCCCGGGGGAACCGCATATACCTCTGACCTATGGATGAGCAACATAGGCACGGGGTTCCTGCCCCTTACTACATCAGGCCATAGTGCAAAGCCTGATTATTTCAGGGGTCCCCCGGCTCCGACACCGGGGGCACCGATGTGGCCGACGCCACGCAGGGGAGGCCCCATGGACGGTTTGGGTAACGGAGGCGACGCCCCCTCTGCCCCCTCCCCGCCATGGCGACCAGCACGCCGAGAGAGGGAGGCACACCCCCCCCCCACTCGGCTAAACCACCGCCCGGTCCCTCGCTTTGGGAGGGACGCCGTCGCGAGAGACCGTGCACCACCCCGCCACCCCCCCCTCCCGCATCACCCCGAACGGGAACGGGGGACCAGAGAGACGCGCCGCGGTTGGGCCTCGAAAAGCGCTCTGCACCGCGCGGGGTGCATAAGGCCCCCCCGGCAGCGATGCAGAGGGCCGGGCGCAGCGCCCTTGCTCGGACACGTCCAAGAGGCCGCTGCACCCGTCTACTCTATTTTGGGGGGAAGGGAGTCACGGTGAGCGGACTCCCCACGACCCCCACCCCCCACCGGTGAAGTCCGACCCCCGTGGCAAACGCTTTTATGCCACGGGGGACGACCCCCACCCCTTCGCTATCACCAACGGGGAATTCGCCCGCGCAACGGAACGCTTTACGTCGCGCGGGCGAACCCCCGAACCCGAATCAGGGCGCACCCGGTGCAATGGGCATTGCTGCCCCAGGGGCACCCTGAGAGCGCCCTGCCTGCAGGCAGGGCGCCACTTCAGCGAAAAATTTCCCGACCCCACCGTGGAACAAGTCCACGCGGCCCGGGAAACGGGGTCCCTGGTTTCCCAGGGGTACCCCTCTCCGGGAGGCATGGGGTTCCCCGCAGATTTTTCTGTGGGACCCCATCGCCTCCCCCACGATTTTCAGGCAGTCCCTCGCCCGCCCCCGGCGGCACAAGGTCCCGCCCTCCAATCACGTCTCCATCAGTGACACCCAGTGTGCAATGGGCAGCCGTTTATGAAAAACGACCGCCCACTGGGCAAACCTGATGAGAATGCATGGGTGCAATGTGGGCAAGCCCACTCCATGCATTCCCGACCCTACCCTGACGTGGGCTCGATGGCTTACGCCAGAGCCCGCCTGCAGTCTAAGACTGCGTCGCCTCTTTGGCCCGTGAAGCCCCAAGGGGAAGCCCCCCCCCCTCCCCCCTGAAGGGAGAGACCCACGGACCCTGGTGGACGACCACCACTCCTCGCATGGTGAGAGAGCAAACCTCTCTCTAACGGTGCCGTGCCACCGGGATTTGTAGTCGGAGTTACCTTCTCCTACCGGCGTAATGATTCCCCATCCTGCAAGAGGATGGTTCCTCCCGACCCTCCGCACTCCATGGAGTACGGAGAGTCCTTGGGACGTCGGACCCTAGCGTACAGAGTCCCTCTATTTAACGAGGGACTCCGTACTGTGGGATATTGGCACCCGGGACTCTCTAGCGAGCCCCGGGTGAGCCCCCGTGCCACGACAAGGCTTCCCACGCACGGGGGAACCTAACCTAACCTAACCCTAAACTAACCTAAACCTAAACTAACCTAAAATACCTAAAATACACGTGAAATTGCCGCGTCAAGGGCTTTCTGCCATATTCTTTTGTGTAGATAGAGCGGACTAAACTGAGTCGAAAAGTCCTCTACCATTTTGCAATTTTCGCAATAATTAACAAGATATTAATTACTAAAAATTGCACAATATTGATCTTGAATAATTTTTTACTCAAATACTACCAACTTTACAGAAAAACTGCAAGAGACAAAAATTATTTATTTTTTTCTCATAAAGTTCTGAGAATGTTTTTAGAATTTTTTATCAACTTTTTAATACTGCATTTTCTTATTTTTATAAACATGTGAAAATACGGTATTAAAAAATTCTGAAAAAATTCTCAGAACTTTATGAGAAGAAAATAAATAATTTTTGTCTCTTGCCGTTTTTCTGTAAAGTTTATAGTATTTGAGTAAAAAATTATTCAAAACCAATATTTTGCAATTTTTAGTAATTAATATCTTGTTAACTATTGCGAAAATTACAAAATGGTAGAGGACTTTTCGACTCAGTTTAGTCCGCTCTATCTATACAAAAGGGATTGGCAAAAAAAGTCGGAACACTGTATATAGTAAATATGTACGTACTGAATATCCTGTTTAGTAGGCAGATTTTCGCAGAGCTTCTGTAGATTTCTGAAAATACGAAGTTAACATGATATTATGATATAAAAAATTAAAATTTATATACTTATAAGTTGACTATGATATCGACAATTTTTATTATTAAACAGATTGAATTGTATAAGTACAAGAATGTTGGAAATGATATATTAAAATAAAAAATAGGAATAATAGAAGCAAAAGTTGAAAAACATATGACTTACTCTTGTCTTGTAATAAGTGTGTCAATTTTTTTCCGAAAGAAACTGAAACTATAACTTTAATGTACATCTTCAAAATTCTATAAAATATAATTGCGTAGTCCGTATATAAATAATTACTGATGCCTACCGTATATTATCGTTTTGCGCAATACATTCGGATGATGACGTTTGTGGAATATTGGTTTCACAGATCTCACGCTGAATCTCTGTTACCATATTGTCATTACATCCATTAGAAACATAAGAAGATTGATGTTTTGTTTGCACCTTATATGCCTGATCTCTGTGATGCCATGTATTTGCAAAAGCTAAAGGATTCTGATCATAACTAAGTTCCATTGATAGTTCGTCACTCGAGTAATATGCCGAATTGGAATCAACGAAATGAGAAGTATTTCCTGTTATATGTGTGTTTGTAGGAGGTTTTAAATGTGCTGGTAAATGTGACGATAATGCTGTGAGATTGTTATTTTTATGAACGTTGACTCCGTCAACATTCGCTAATAACGCAGGTGATGTTGATGATGGAGGTAACGGTCCTAAAGTCAATGGTACTGTAGTCACTAATGTAGGCGAAACCAATGTTGAGGGAGTCATCGATGGTAAAAGTTCAAATGTAGGTTATTCTACAATGTTGTTTTTTTGTTCTTTTTGCTATTTTTTACATCTTGTCTTTTTTGTTTCTTATTCAAGTTTTCGTTTTCTATCACCCGAGATAAAAGTTAATGAACTTCGGAAAAGAAAGAAACACGTACATAGACAGAAATACAATTGTCGATTAAACGGTTGCAAAGAGGGAAAAAGCAATAGATTAAAAAGCAAAAGAAACAAGAAACAAAAAGTGCACGTTGTAGAATAACCAAATAATTGTCATACAGAAATAAGTGACAAAAAAACTATTTCTGTAAGATATGATGTATACTTTACAATCCTATATTTGGCAAAAGCTGCTCTGGTCAATTAATTTTAACTTACATAATACAAAAAATGCAAGAAATACAAGAACTTCTCTTAAAAATAAAATAAAATATGGCGATTTATTACATACCTGATAAGCTTCTGTTGACAAAAATTAGTGAGGTTAATTCAATACGATTGTGTTCTTGGATAAAATTGCTTCGTGGTCTACAGCATCAAGAGCAAAAGAAACAGATATACAATATATCAAATAGATATATATCAAGTATTGAGAGCGAAAATAATCGAGTATGCATAAACGTGAATTCACGATGCGTTTTCTACACTGACATACACAGCGATGTGCCGCACACTGTGGCACGTGGTACCATGATAGCGGCCATGATGTACAGGTTTGTTCACGTCGCATGCTCCAACATGCTCCTACTTCCTTCTCCAACCGTAGCTCTTACTCACTCAAACGCACTCGTTAGAGTGAGTAGGAGCTACGGTTGGAGGAAGTAGGCGCATGTTGGAGCATGA